CTTCAACTTTTTTTTTTTTTTGGTTAATGGGCATTTTCAACATTTTTGTTGTTAAGGACATTTTAGATAATATATTGTAACAACTCTGGGTACAGGGACTCCCCTCCAGGGTTTGTTACTGTTATTTGTTAGTTAATTTAGCAAGTGATTAGATTACTTTAGTGAAGTTTGTTTTCTTCCCTGAGTGTTCAGCCTCTCATATTTTTCCGCAGGGAGGTGTAGTTTTAAATATGCCTGCAGTTACACTGGATGATAATGTTTTTGTTGGGTTTTCTTCCTTCTCTGGCTTCCCAGCTATTCAGCTTCACTAATCACCAGCTGGTTGAGCTGTTGATTCCAGCAGTGTGTGGTGCTGTACATTGCTCTACCTACTGATCCAATAAAATTATGGTTCCTTTGAAAGACTAGTTTTTGAAGGTAGTATAAGTTTTCTTCAGATACCAGGAGGACTCCTACCAGCTATCTTATTTCCTTATACTGTTCCGCAAGGTTTAACTTGTGTCCCAGGTGGCTTTCACCACAACCTGCACTGTTCTTTAGAGTGCCTTTAGGCTTCAGTTTCTTCTCCTTGTGTGGGCAAATAAAGGTAGGTCTTTGGGGGAGAGATTCGATACTATCTGCTTTTCTTTACCCCAAAAAATTCCCCAAAAAATTTCTGAAACAGGACATCTAGAGATATGGGACAGGGAATAATGACAGATTTCTCTCTTAATGAGATGAGTGTTTGGTGGGGCATCAAGACTTGGGAGACCTCATATCCTTTAGCTTGCTGCTTCTGATCAAGAACCACCTCACATGAGCAAGACTGATCTGCATCTCTAATATTCTAAGTAGGCCATGCATGATAAACTGCGTAAGTGGGGTTGGAAGTAAGAAGTGAGCCCCCACTTTTAAACTGTTCTTATATGAGACTTAGCTTCAGCAATAGATAGCTGAGGCACAATGAGAAAATACTGATTTGTTCTCTCTGTAAAGAAACCTTGCATCCTAACGCTGGGAACAATAGGAACCCCATGTGTTTTGACTGCAAAGGTCTGGAGTGCAGTGTCTGTGTCTTGCGTTGCAAAGGGATCATGGAGGAAGAGGATCTTGATTCAGATAGACTCTTCCTTTTCTTACCGAATTTGTGTGTTTCTTACCGAATTTGTGTGCTTGCTCATTTATTGTTTACCTTTAGGGTTATTTCTGGAGACTTTTTATTTATTTATTTTTTAGTAGTTCTGACCAGTTTCAGTGGAGAGCTTATTGGCAGAGTTCCTCATGTTGTCATGCCAGAAGTTTGGTATTAGTTTTTTTTTTTTTTAAGCATTTTTGACTAGCTTTGTGGTGGTATCTCATTGTGGTTTTAATTTGCAGTTCCCTGATAGTTAATGGTGTTCAAGATTTTTTTCATGTAATTATTTTCCATCTACCTGTTCTCTTGGTGAAATACTATGTTCTCTGTTTTCTTATTGGAATGTTAGTTTTTCATACTGTTCAATTTTAAGTGTCTCATATACTATAGATTATAGGCATTTGTTAGATATATGATTTACAAAAATTTTCGCTCAGTCTACAACTTGTCTTTTCAAATTCTTAATAGAATATTTCATTAAAAAGTAAATTTTTTAGTGAAATCCAATTTAACCTTTTTTCTGTTTTGCTAGTACAGACCAGGTTTTTTGGGATCAAGTCTGTTTGCTTAACTCTAGATCCTGGAGATACTTATGCTTTTGCTCAAAGTTTTATGGTTTTGTATTTTACATTTTAAGTGCATTACATTTAAGATCTTGTCTGAGTTAATTTTGGATAAGGTATAAGTTTAGATCGAGGTGCCCCTCCTCCCCCCAATGTCCCTCCTCCCATTGGCCACTTGTTCTAGCATTATTTGTTGAAAAGGTTCTCTGGTGGGTTTGGTTTTGCATCTTTATAAAATAACTACCTTGTGTCTGTTTCTTGATTCTCTATGCTGTTCTAGAAATCTGTGTGTCTTTTTCTATTAAGATAGCACACTGTATACACACCAGCTGTAGCTATATAGACTTTCATGTCAGGTGTTTTCTAAGTCTTTTTAAAGATCATCTTGGTTACCCTAGGGTCCTTGCCTTCCATACAGATTTTTGTTATGTTGCCTCTTGTTCAGAACTTTGGTTTCTTTCATCAGACAGCAAGCAGGTCCTGTCTGTACTATTTATTGTAAAGTGTATACTTCAGTTTTAAAATTTCTTTGGGGCAATTACAGACAGTATTGTTTTAAAGTTCAGTTTCCACATTGATTGCTAATCTATAGAAATGTATATTAAGTGTTGACCTGTTTGTTGATTTTGGTGAACTTTTTATTAGCTCTAGGAGTTTTTTTTTAAATAGATCTTCCATAGGATTTAAGATATGTTTTAAGTGTTGCCTTTTTGCTTTTCTGTTGTGGTGTATTTATATGTTTCTAATTCTAAGGAGAGGAGAATCCTTTCTAAATATTTTAAAATAACTTTCTTTTCAATTGGTTTTCCGGAGTTGAAAATTATAAAACAATTCTAAGAGGGCATTTTTCCATTTATATTCTCATAAATGAGCAGCTCTCATAATGTAGCTCTTAGGTGAATTTTGCAGTGGTCATATTTCAAGAATACTTTGCAAGATTTATTCTTTCTACTTTAGTTTGAGAATATACATTGCTAGTTCTATAGTTTACTTGCTATGTAAACAAACTGACCTTAGGGTTCAAGTTCTTATTTTTTTCACCTAGCCTTATTTTGGGGAGTGGGAGGTAAGAAGTACATGAATTTATGAGGACCAGAAAGACCTGGGTATAAATCTCAGCTGTTGTTCTTTGTAGCTTGAAGACGTCATCATCTTTTTTTTTTTTTTTTAAAGATTTATTTATTCATACAGAACTGGGGTACAGGCCAGAGATGCAGAGAGTGAGAGGATTCACCAGAAACAGAGTGGGGAGCAGAACAGGCAGATCGATGAAGTACACTGCTGAGGGAAGCAGCGGGCGGGTCAGGAGAGGTCTGCCTGGCCATGTGGATCTCCTCCGGGGCAGGCGGGGATCGAACTCATGATAAAGTGGCTTAAGCTTCTTAGTGCAGTGCTTTAACCTGCTGCGCCACCAAGGAGGGCCCGTCATCATCTTTGTAGCCTCATGACGTAGTCTCTGAGCCCTAGCTTCCACGTCTTGTAAATTGGGGTGGGTATAAAATACCTCAGAGGACTACATGTAAGGATTTTGTGAGCTACCATGTAATTATCTGGTACAGATTTTAACTTTGTTGATCTTAAATAAACGAAGGTTTATTTCTCTTTACTAAACAAAATGAATTAATAGATATGAAGTAGCTTTTTGCAAATTGTAAACAAATAAATGTAAATCGTTGGCATATTTTCCTTCTTCAAAATTGGAGATAAATAGCACAGTTTATAATCTCTGTAGCTAATGTGCTTGCTTAGATTCTTCAGTTACATGCATCTGCCCGATTCTGGTCACTTTAAAGACTGTGTTCTTGCTGCATAAACTTTGAAAGCCCTTAGAAAAATCTTGCAACAAAACTGATGATTTATGAAATTAACAGTTGGGTTAATTCTTTGTCTAATTTGAATTCTTGCTAATTCTTAATCTTCTTTGCCCATACGTATATAAACACTAAATACACTTTTGTCTTTTTAAAATTGTGTCAAGACCCTTTCACTTTTCTCCACTCTTCCACACTGGGTGGGAACTTTGAATCTCATGGGGTATGTATGAGGAGAATATGTACTGTAGTGTTTCCTGTTTTAGTATTTCTGTTTGGATTGGCTGTGATAATTACCTTAGTTGAATATGTAACTAAATATCTAAAATAAACTTGTGTACTGTGAGTTGAGGGAGAGTACCAAGGACTTGAAATAATTGACCTCCTAGGGAACTTGCTGAAGACCAGTTTAAAGAATTATTGATGTCTTCTGAAAGTGTTTTTTTTTTTTAACCACTCACGAGCTTTTAAGTATCATTTATCAAATACTTATTAAACATTTATGTGCATAGCACTTTCTGGGAACTTACAAAGATAAAAATGAGCATTCTCTGGCCTTGAGTATTCTTGCCTTCCATGTCAACGTAGTTAAGAGTTCAAAAAACTCAAAAATACTGAAATGTCAGACATTAAGCAATTTAAACACCCACTATCACCAGTAATAATATGCTGTACAAATCAGGACAACCTCTTTATTTCATAGGAATGACATTGAATTTCTTCATCTGTGAAGTACATAAGGGTCATTGTAATGCTTAATTAAGATTGGATCTGTAAAACACAGCCATAATGCATAAAATTCATAGATGGTCTTTCTGTAATTATGTGTATTTTTCATTGGAAAGATAATAGATGGTGTGTTAAAAAAATTCAAGCAGAAGGCCCTCCCTGGTGGCGCAGCAGGTTAAAGCACAGCACTAAGAAGCTAAAGCCACTTCCGCATGAGTTCGATTCCCGCCTGCCCCGGAGGTGACCACATGGCGCGGCAGACCTCTCCTGACCCACCTGCTGCTCCCCTCAGCAGTGTACTTCGTTGATCTGACCGTTTTGCTCCCCACTCTGTCTCTGGTGAATCCTTTCACCCTCCACATCTCTGGCCTGTACCCCAGTTCTGTACGAATAAATAAATAAATCTTAAAAAAAAAATTCAAGCAGAACAAAATGAATACTTAATTTAAGTAATCTCATTCCAGATCCTAGGCTCTTCCCTATATACCATTTAATTGGGAGCACAGTTTTGAATGCTTTCTAGTAATTTTTACACTTACTTATATATCTTACATTTTTGTAACACCAGGGAGTCAGCCATATTATGCATGTCGCATGTCTTATATCCTGCTTTTTTAATTTAAAGAGATTTTGGGCAGTCTTTCCTATAAGCAAGCATAGGTTTTTACCCATTATTAATTTTTAGTGATTGCTGAGTGTTCTGTAGTTTGAGTGTATGATATAACCTATGTCTTCCTTCAGCATTTATTTAACATGTTATTTTCTAAACTTTCCTGTTCTTAGGGTCAACTCACTATCCTGCAAGTCATCCTCCCAAGAAGAAGGGACAGAAAAGAAAGACCTCTTTGTAAGAAAGGTTTGGGTGTCCCATGAACGAGACAGCAGAAAACCGATTGGGGTGCAGCAGGACTCCAGAGCCAGATATAAGGCTCAGAAAAAGGCACCAACTTGATGATACAAGGAAAGGGGATAATGACAACCACCAAGGAGATCTGGAGCCTGTTTTAGAAGCACCTGTTCTTTCTTCTCATCATAAAAAAGTAAGTGAGAGCATGGTAAATAAAACAAAAACTTAGGGGAAGATAGAGGAAGAGGAACATTAAAAATAAATGTATGGGAAAAGAGGATGGGGTACCTTAATGTTGTAAAGTTTTTGTTCAGGATCATTTGAAGTGTCTTATTCTTAAATTAGCTCGATGTTAATAGATTTCATAGTTATATTAATCTGCTTTATCTTGTTGAGAAAAGAAATTAGGTTTTGTAGTTACATATAACCTTTTAATTTATCATGCTTTAGTTTTAACAGTATTATGTTTCTGGAGAAATTCTAATTGCATGCTGGGACATACTTCTAGATATGGAGATACTGTGGGTTATCATCAGTGTCTATCTTGGAAACAGGTAGAATTCTGAGAATAGAAGATTTTAATCTTTTCTTTCATTTACCAGAGAAAAGGGCATCTTTTAAATTACTCTAACACCTATACTTAAAGAGGAAATGTGAACAGTATCAGAAAACCATTGTTGCAGACATTTTGCTATGTACTTTGGAATCTTGGAATTGTGTATCAGGTGTTTAATGTTGTAATTCTAGTACAGTTTTTCTCAAACTGTAGGCTGTACTTATTAGAGGATCGTAATATTAATTCTGATATAAGCAGTATTAAAAATTAAGCAGCAAAATGGAATTAAACTATTAAGGTGCATGTATATAGTAATGCACGTTAAACTATGCATACTCTGTGGTGGAATGTTAAAGTTACCTATGTGTGTACAGACATATTTCTTACTGTTAGCCGTGGTAAAAAAACATCTTGAAAGCCTCTTTGGAACTGTATCATTATCACCCTAAGAGATATGCTTATTGTGTTGGTTTGAATTCCACAGGATGATTTGTGCTTTCAAGACTTTTATCAAAATTTCACCTATTTTCACCTTTATAGTAAAATAGATTATTGTGGCAAGAAATGTGGGTTATTTCATCTTTTATTTTTGGCAACACTTTTTAAACCAAACTTACACTCTTGTCTAAGTTGTGTTACAGTGAAAAGTAATTGACACATGTATGCCGGATGTGCCCCCACCCCCACCCCCACCACGGGACAGATTAATAGTTCAGAGGATTTAAAACAAAACAAAACAAACTGTTTGCTTACAATAAGTATAATATACATTGGCTTTTAAAGCAGCATTATTGTTTAAAAAACATCTTAACAGACCCTGGGCAAGAACTTCCACACAGTGGTGTGTGCTGGCAGCTAAGACTTCCTTGTTTCTTCTGGGCAAGCTGAGTTTCCCTGTTTTCATATATATATATATTTGTGTGTGTGTGTGTGTGTGTGCGTGTGTAGAAGAATTGGGGTATAAGCTAGAGTTGTGGGGTAGAAGGGTGAGGGCTGTGTAAGGATTCATCAGAGACAGTGGAGAGCAGAACAGGCAGACCTACTGAAATACACTGCTGAGGGCAGTGCTGTGGGCAAGACAAGAGAGGTCTGCTGTACCATGTGTGTTAGCTACCTGGCTGAGGATTGAACTCAGGCTATAAAGGTGATAGATCTGAGACTTAACCCTCGGCTATCAGGGAGGCCCTGTTACATAGTTTTAAAGTCAGGAAGTGTGATGCTTCCAGCTTTGTTCTCCTTCTTTGAGGCTGTTTTGACTGTTAGGGTCCTTGTGGTTCATATGAATTTTAGGATTATTTTTTCTATGGCTGGAAATATAATAAACAGAAATAGAAGAGGACTTACTAGTTTATTGAATACTAGGTCTGAAGGCCTATCATCTAACCTTGTAATAGGTACGTTATTTAATATTCTTGGATTTGTTTCTGTCACATGTAATATGAGCACAGTATTAGATGATCTATGTGTTTGTTTCCTTTTATTGCTGGATTCTGTGTTTTTATCAATTTTATCATACTAAATGTTTTAAGGGACTTTCAGAAGTTCTACATACTGACCTATTCTGAAAAATAATCAAAGAACTGATGGTAATGAAGAAAGTTATGCCTTAAGCAGTTTTTAGAAATGCTGTAGTTGAATGTTTATTAAAGGCTGATTGAAAGGGGGTAAAGAGCAACAGAGGGACTGCCAGCAGCAGGAGTAGTGTGTGTGAAGGGCCTTGAGTCTGAAAAGAAGTTGGCATATTGAGAAATTTGGTGTGTGCATTGGGGGAGGGATATGATAAGAGATGAGGTAAGAAAGGACTCTTGTACACAGTGTTGTAGAGGAAAGGTGCATTTGTAGGCCAGTGGGAAGGTGAAATGGGGGAGTGATGTTTCATTCCAAAAAGATCTTTTTCTGACTCTTACAGTAGGTTATGGGGACAGTTGGGACAAGGGAAGGAAACCTTGGGATGAATTATAAGCTGCTATTGAAATTTATTTTTATTTATTGATTGATTTTTATTGATTGGTTGGTTGATTGGGTACAGGCCAGAGGTGCGGGGTCCAGGAGAGGATTCACCAGAGACAGAGTGGGGAGCAGAGGCAGGCTGACTGAAACACACTGCTGAATGGGGTGGCGGTGGGTCAGGAGAGATCTGCCATGCCATGTGGGTCAGCTCCCTGGTTGGGATTGAATTAGTGCTGCAGTGGCTGTGAATAGCTTCATAGTGCTGTACTTTAACCCCTTGAGCCACAAGGCAGGCCCGGAGAATTTTTGTTTTTAATAGCTTATTCTGGGTTGGTGGTGGTAGAGGAGTTGGTTAGAAGTGCATAAATTTGAGCTGTGCATTGGAATGAAATTGACAGAACATGCTAGTGGATTGGGAGTGAGTGAGTGGGTGATGGAGAAGAAATTACAAGAATGACTTTGAGATATGATGTGAGAAATTGGATTCATGGGGATATTCTGAGATTAGAAAAACTAGAGGATGAGTTTGGAGGTGAAGCAGGTCGAGGTGGAAGGTTCAAGAGATTGCTTTTGACCATGGAAGTATTACATTTTTTGACACTATTAGTGGATATGTAGAGGAAATATAGTTGGGTATGAGTATGGAATTCTAAAAAGAGGTTTGTGCTAGCAGTAAACATTTAGAACCCACCAGAAATATAGATGATATTTAGGACTATTGAAATGGCTCAGCTACTTAAGGGAAGAGTGAAGAAAGGAAGAAGGGTCTAGAACCCCAGCATTCATAGTACATTTCAAGTAGAGGAAGCAAAGGAAAGAAAATTAAGAAAGAGCGGTCAGTGGGACAGGAGGAAAAACAAGGACAGTGCAGCAATACACAAAGGCCAAGAATTGGGAGGATTGTGTCTAGGTGAGAGATGATGTTGGCTAGAAACAGGGAGATAGTAGCTGCAGAAATAAAGAGAAGTAGATGGATTCTGGATATATGTCCTTAGACCTGCAGGACTAGTGATGGATTAGAGATGAATAGTAGTGAGGAAAAGAATCAAGGATGAATCCTGGATGTTTAACTGAGATTAATCAAAACAAATGACTTTTTTTTTTAAAGATTTATTTATTTATGCATATAGAAGTCACAGGCCAGAGATGCAGAGGGTGAGAGGATTCACCAGAGACAGAGGGGAGCAGAACAGGCAAATCAACGAAGTACACTGCTGAGGGGAGCAGCAGGCAGGTTAGGAGAGGTCTGCTGCGCCATGTGGATCTCCTCCGGGGCAGTCAGGAATCGAACTCATGCGGAAGTGGCTTAAGCTTCTTAGTGCTGTGCTTTAACTCGCTGCACCACCAGGGAGGGCCCAGATCACGTTTTTAAACAAGGGGGATGAAGAGGGAAATCAGGAGTTCTGTTTTAGAATGTGAGATTTGAGAATCTTACTAGTCAGCTTGGAAAAGATACTGAGTAGACATTAACTATATCACTATGTGACTTTAATGTACCAGTTTTTAACTACATTTAAAATTGATGTACTTTATCAAGGCAAATTTAAAAGCTTGAAAGAATTTCAGGGTAGCCAGTTTGAAGTATGGCAGTAATCTCTTTATGTTACCACATTTTAGCTTGAGTCAGTAAAACATGGTTCTGAAGTTCAGAATTTGCCTATCAAAGTCCCTTCTATGTGACATCACATTATCTGTCTCTTGATATATACTGTGTATTTTTGTTACTATCTTCACTACATAGAGTGGTTTCTTCTAAATGTGACAATTTGTGTTTTTTGTTTCACTAACAAATAATCAAGTGAATGGATGTGTTTCATTCTTGTGAATGAACTCATTATATCCCCTTGAAAAGAATTTGTATTTCATCTTTGGTTAACTCTGAAAGCTAGCAGCCTGCACAGATTAACCATTTCTTTTTTTTTCTGTCAGTTTTAATAGATTTTCTATGAGGAAGTGAGAGGACCTGGTCCATAGACGTGGTGGTGTGTTAGTGCTGAAACGCTTCTCCAGAATCATATTGTCACCCTCCTCAATTTACTAGTGCGGAATTGGGTGTTGTTGTAGGGAGAAATGAAAACCTGTTCTTCACGTGTTGTTTTCTTTGGAGTAGAAGTCCTTTGCTGAAAAAGGAAAGATAGTTTATGAAGAGACCAGCATGTATGTATACGCTATGCAGGTTGGGAGGAGGTGGTGGTTTCAGTAGAAAACTGCCTGGATCACATAGGTAGCAGAAACTTTGGTCCTCCCTTGGGCATACCCTCCATTGATATTGCAACTCTTGTTCATTGTTTAATCTATATTCTGAACTGTCCCTTGCTGCTAATTGCAGGGATAATGTAGAATAATCTAGAGAGCAAGAAAAGAAGGGGGATAGAGTTACAGAAGAGTATGCAGCTTTGAGACTGAAGTTAAAAGACAAAGCTTTAATATCTTAAAGAGACTTGAAGTGTTCCATATGCTGATTTTAGGGGGGAGTGGAGGAGTCATTTCTGCTCATTTCCAGTTTTAAAGTTGAAGTTTCTGAACTGTTAGCAAATATAGTGTTTTAAAATTTAGGTCACTTTTGCAGACATTATTTTACTCTCAAGAACTACTGTAAGGTAAGAGGAGATATCCCTTTTTGAGAGAGGTAAGATTTAGAGAGCTTAGAGTAATTTGCCCAAGGTCACAAGGCTCAGTGAGTACAT